CTCATAGATTTCACCACATTTATAAACATTTAGTTCAAGCCAAAGTTCGGCTTGATTCATTTACCACTTGAAATTCTGTCAAAGAAGGGAAACAGGTCTTGAGGATGGTACTTAATAGCTTAAACCAAAGCAGACTGTCTACATGTCCAAGCCTCATTTACATATCTGTTCATCTAACAATAGGAAAATGACCCAAAGACTGTACTCTCTTTAACTAAAAATGATGAATTCCAAACAGCTATCCTGTGCTGGATGAGAAAAAAAATAATGATGAATACCTACATTAAAGATGATACCATACTATAAATGAATACAGGAGAGAATAAAGGGTAAGTCAAAGGTATCTCTTCATTTTAGGATTTTAGCAGTTTCAATTTCCAACTTTGAGATTTTTACATTTTTTTAACATACTCTTTGTCTAAGAAACTTCCCTTTTTTGGCCCATGTAGTTATTCATGTGTATTATCTTGATATGGGCATGAACTGATGATCGAGGCAGGCATCTGTTCCTTTTGCATAGCAAGAATGCGCAGACTTTTCAAAACTCAGCAAGAATCAAACAAGAGAAATCAGATTCTTTCTAATTAGCAACGTGCTCTTCTCCGTACAGCTCACTTAGCTTTTTCTCAAGGGTACACTATCAATAATGCTTTCTGCCTGCCCTTTATCACTACTTTTCTCAACTCTCTTTTATGATACAAATCTTCACAAAATGAAGCACCTTTTCATTTTTGGAATGTGCATGTATTGCCTTTGATCTGAACAAAGAATCTACTGTTGTTCTCGAGTATTTTTTATGTTTATCCCTAGTGAAAGAAAAACCCCTGACAGTAGTTTAAAGATGAATTGAAAGTAGTTTAAAAGCACAGAATAAAAAACCTACATATACATAAACTTAGAAGTAACAACATGACAACAAAAGCATAACTCCCAGTTATGCAGTAGTCATTTAGAAGACTCTCTGAGATGTTTAATGTAGACAACATGAAAAAAAATACAAGTTCATATGTACACTAGATGGTAATTTCTCTGTTTGCTGCTGTCATGGGTACGTAATTCCAATAAATAGGCCTACTGGATGGCATAAAAGTGAAATCTGTACATAGTGTCTGAATTCCATGGAAGAACTTTGTTTTTTATCTAACAGCATCTAAGACTCAGTGTTTCTTTTTCTTTCCACTCTTGTTCTTTTAATGCAGTGTCTAGTATAAAACTGCATACTTTTAAAATCTATTTATTGTTTGTTTTTAGTTTTACATGATCTAAAAACAATTCTTGAGGGCAAGTGCCTACTGAACATAATATTGCTTCCTTTTACGACAGTAATATTGATGCAAATACTCATGCATGTAAGGTTAGAAATAAGCTCCCTGTAACATTCACATAATTTAACTTCACTATTTGCAGAAAGAAAACACAAGAGATACAGACATCCAAATCAGATCCACTGTCCCCATTAAATTAACCTCTATAGAAACGTTTTCAATTGTTTATCCTTTCTAAGCTGTAACATGTTTAGAATAGAATAGAATAATAGTTCAGTTGAAAGAGACCTACTTCGTTCAACTGCCTGACAAATTCAGAGCTGACAAAAAGTTAAAGCATGTTATTAAGGGCATTGTCCAAATGCTCTGCAGCAGTTCATGAAGAACTGCAGCCTGTGGGAAGGACCCACGTTGGAGAAGTTCATGGAGGATGGTCTCCTGTGGGAGGGACCCCACACTGGAGCAGGGGAAGAATGTGAGGAGTCCTCCCTCTGAGGAGGAAGGAGCAGCAGAGACAACGTGTGATGAACTGACCCCAACCCTCATTCTCCATCTCCCTGCACTGCTGAGAGGGAGGAGGTGGAGAAAACTGGGAGTAAAGTTGAGCCCTGGGAGAAGGGAAGGGTGGGGGGTAGTGTTTTAAGATTTGTTTTTATTTTCTCCTTACCATACTCTGATTTAATTGGCAATAAATTTAATTAATTTTCCCCAAGTTGATTCTGTTTTGCCTGTGGCAGTAATTGCTGAGTGATCTCCCTGTCCTTATCTCAACCCATGAGCCTTCTGTTGTATTTTCTCTGCCCTGTCCAGCCGAGGAGGGGAGTGATAGAGCAGCTTTGTTGAGCATCTGGTGTCCAGGAAGGGTCAACCCACCACACAGTGTTTGACAACTCTCTTGGTAAAAAAAGTGCTTCACAGTGTCCAGCCTAAACCTCCCCCGATGCAGCTTTAAGCCATTCCCACGTGTCCTGTCCCTGGATACCAGGCAGAAGAGACCAACACCTCCCTCTCCACTTCCCCTCCTCAGGAAGCTGTAGAGAGCAACCTCCTTTTCTCCAAACTAGACAAACCCAGAGTCCTCAGCTTCTCCTCACAGGACATGCCTTCCAGCCCTTTCACCAGCTTCGTTGCCCTCCTCCAGATGCTTTTGAGTACCTTCACATTCTTGACTTGTGGGGCCCAGAACTGCAGACAGTACTCAAGGTGAGGCCACATGAGCACTGAACACAGCGGGATCATCACCCCTTTTCACCAGCTGGCTATGCTGTGTTTGATGCACCCCAGGATGAGGTTTGCCCTCTTGGTTGCCAGCACACACACTGCTGACTCCTACTGACCCCCAGCTCCCCTTCTGTAGGGCTGCTCTCCAGCCAACCTCCCAGTTTATACTTGTGCCCGGCATTACTCCATCCCAGATGAAGGATTCAGCATTTGGACTTGTTATATTTCATCCCACTAATGATTGCCTAATGCTCCAAACTATCTAGATCCCTCTACAAGGCCTCTTGTCCCTCAAGAGAGTCAACAGCATCTCCCAGTTTGGTATCATCAGCAAGCTTGCTAATGGTGCATTCAACTCCTGGATCCAGATCATTGATAAAAATATTGAGCAGAACTGACCCTAGGATGGAGCCCTGATGAACACTGCTGGTGACTGGTCACCTGCCAGGTGCAGCCCCACTCCAACCCTTTGAGCCCTGCCCTTCAGCCTGTTCTTCACCCAGGCTCCAGAAAGTCAAGAGACTCTTCTTTCAGCATCCTATACATTCCTATAGGGCTTTGTGGGATGCCTTTCTCTAAGATAATCTTAATTACAGTGTCCAGATGATTATGTCAAGTAGGCAAGGTTATGGACCATCTTTCAACAAACTAGTATGTGCCTACTGCCTGTAAATTTTTGTTTTTACATAAGTTATTTTTAAGTAAACCTGTCATCAGCACAGAACCAATCATTAATATTTCCACTACACTGTTTCTTTTCTTTTTATAAATTTAATGATATATTAATTATTATTGTGGCATAATGAAAACATTCTTTTTTTTCACAGGCTGTAAAATAGATTCTTGATCTTTTCCAGTGATTGAACTTGGAATGGTATTCTGCTCAGACTCTTGTAAAACTGAACTGCAGGAAATTATGATTTATTCACCTACAATTCTGAACTGCAGGAAATTACAATTTATTCACCTACAATTCTGCATGTTTAAGTAAAAACGGTACTATTTCTCTCAGGACCAAAACCAACAACATACCACATGGCAAAAATGCAGCTGGTCCCATGGCAGAAACATTTGTTATGCACAGCAGGACAGTTATTCCACATAGAAATGAACATATACAGGTTCAGTGTCCATTACCTGTACTCCCAAATGAATATTCATTAGAAAAAAACAGAAAGAGACCATAACATTCACACACTAAACAGGGTCTCCCTTGCTAAAGTTTCATTTAACTCTGTTCCTCCTAGCTACAAAAAAAGATACTTAATATGTGCTTAAAGAAGAGCTACTCGGGGCTTGTTCATCACAACTGATACTTCCTCCCATTCCCTCTTTTCAGGTTTCTCTATTCCAGATGTTCTCAGGATGTGTAGGAGGCATGTTGCTTGCTACCCACATCTACGCCTTTGTCTCTCATTGTGTGCCTCCCACTTTCCTCCTTCCCTGAGCAAGGATGCTTTTTTTCTCAGCTTAGTCTTCTTGTGAAAAATACAGTTCCAGCTGGTCCATGCCTCCCCTCTTTGAAACCAGACAGGAGCACCTGGGCCATTCTGATCACCATCTCCCCATAAAGACTTTATGGTGCTGGCTGCAGGTCCCAGTATGATGTTTGCTTCCCTGTAGGCAGAAGACTTAAAGCAGAAAGAGTGAGATGGCTTTCAGCTCTAATCTTTGCCTCTTGCATAATCCACATTCACAAGGAATGCTGAAAATGCTGGATTGGGTCTAGTCAACTGGCCCACATCGAGTATTATTTGTACTTTCTGGCATCAATACTGGCAAATTATCTAATGCACTTCTTTTGTTTATTTATTTGCTTTGCTTGAGAAAAAGCTGCAGGGGGGGAACTAGTCATAGACTATTTAGTGGGAGCAGATGCAAAGGCAGTCAAAGCAAGGCCCTTCAGACAGAACTTTTTAAAGTTTTTTGCTGTGTCTTCTCCAGCCTGTACCACTGGCTTGTTAGGTCAACTCTGACTTATTTCTTTCTCAGCTATATTTGCACCTCACATTCACATCTGTAATTGCATTCTTTCTCTGCCCTGCCCCCTGTTTCCTCAATATTTTCATTGTCTTTAACCTATCCTTTCCTCACTGCTGCCTCTTAACTCTCTCAGAAACAAAATACAAAAAAGGATTGTGAAATCAACCTTTTGCAGACACAGATCCTATGCTGCATAACTTGGGCTACTTTTTGCATTGTGCTTACTCAGTTCCTAGTACAAAGAATACCTCTTTTTGTCACTCTTTAGGTATTGGCAGCAAAATCATGCATGAAAAATAAAGTAAATTGAACCATGGGAATGCTAGAGTATGATTTATAAAACACTGAAGAATTATTTTATATTGGGAAGACACTTCATCTCAGATGCAACTGAGAAAACAAGTGAATTTTTACTATCAGCTGCTTCATACATACAGTGTTTTTCCAAATAAACACATAATTTTAAGCACATTGCCAAATGTATTGAAACAGTGGTTGCTGTTGTTAAGAAAGATTTCTTGTGTGCTTTACCTGAGCTAGTAGAAGCAGGAGACTTGCTGCGTCGGGATGGGCCCGGGCTCTTGGTGGTGCTCCTACGTGAAGTCGAAGCTATTTTGGTATAGGAAGTGGATTTCACCACCCGACATTCTAAAAGACAAAGAAACTGCATAAGTTAGCAATTAAGAAAGTCAGCAAGATTCTGTAACAGAAAGAGCCCTGAAAAGCACAAACATTTCGCCCACACTTGTTTTCATTCATCTTGAGGGGTTTTATGGGAAAATATAAAATCTGTATAAATGGCTCCATTAAAATCCAAGTACAGTATGTACCACATCCCAGATAAAGAACTGCTGCAGTAATCCAGACTTTCAGATACCATGGTTACTGCAGGTACTTAGGACAGCTTAATTTAACAGTGCTGAGACTACACATAAAATTTATTTGCTTTTGAAGATTTCAGCACAACTAAAGCAGTGGTTTTTCTGTAAATGATCCAAATGCAATGTAAGCATTTTTGTCAACCTAGTCAGTCTCCTCTAGAAGAACCAGAAGTCTGCTTTTATGTATCAAAATGTTAAGACTGTACAAGATGACGCAGGTGTCTGTCACTCAGAAAAGCTTTGAAGAAAGAGAAGCAGGTTTGTTGCTCCTGCTTAATCCTCTAGTGAGCAACAGCCCACATTGTATAGCACACTCAATTCATCACAGGTTGAGGGAAATGGCACTACTTGCTCATAAGAGATATCAGTAAAATCAATGAAGAGGCGAAATTACCCTCCCACTTGAGAATACTGCAAGATGTTCAGGTTAGAGTTTACAGACACCCACACGGCTCTGTAGGCATTCTTGCATTACACCTGCAAAACACTTCTTGGCCTAAGGATGAAAGAACTTAGTGTGCATAACATTGATGTCTTGCACTCACAATGGATAGTAAAATAATCATATTATACAGTCAGGGAAAAAAAAAAAAAAAAAGATTTAAATTTTTTAGCTAATATACAATTAGAAGGCTGCAGCAAAGTTTGTACTGTGTTCATCTGATCACGTCAGTATACTTTACTTGTTTAAAAATACATCAGTAAACATTCTGTATCAGACCTGTTGCCCATTTTCTTCCCATGGTTAAGGTTCCTCAACATAGGTTAAGAGAAATAAACAAGAATTTTTTCTCCCTAGTCAGAAAATACCACATACAAGTCTGCACATTATTTAGTCTTCACAGATGATCACTGGAGCCTGTAACATAGTTTAGACAGATTAGAGAACAAAGAAATAAAATTGAGCATAACTAATTAACTTAAACATATCCACCAGAGAATGATGTCATGAAATATATTTCTCTTGGCTGCCTTAACTGTTTGTCTTTCATCAAGCTGTTGAAGGAAATAGAAGCAAGAACTGATGCGTTACTGAGGGAACATCCAGCACAGCTGAGAGCTGAGAGCACAGAAATGCCCTGGTCTTCCCAAAGAAGCTTTTCTTCCCGAATTCTCCCACCTTCCTAATGCCCAGTGGTAGATAATTTCTGTTGACATTTTATGTGATTCATTGATGACTACTCTCATTTCATACTGAACAATGAGTGGAAACAGAGAAAAACATTTACTCTGTTGTAAGAGGAATTATCAACTGAAAACAGGAGGAATCAGATGAGAGCTTTCAATTAGATTCCACTAGGTTACTACAGCAGGAACCTTACACTGATGTACCAGAATCAACAGATGCTCCAGAAACTATCTATACATATCAAATGTAAACAGGTTCTTTACCTTTCTTGTAAACAAAGATTTTAGATGTCTAAACACCTAACAGACAACTTGTTTTTGCAGAGCTCTGATGTAATCCCAGTGTGGACCCCATTCACAGGAATCAGTTGGGAAGGGAACTGAGTATTCTAATGGTCAATAAACAAGAAGAGTGAAGTAGAATGACCATTAAACTATAGTCACTTGCTTAGTAGAAAAACAAGGGTCCATGAAGAAAACAGCCAGCTACTTTCTACAATATACTTTACTTTGTGAAAAGCTTTCCTGTTTACGTGTAAAAAAATATCTACATCTCTTGCAATTCATGCTGTGCACTAAAGCTTGACTCTCCTGTTACTACAAGTATCAATGCTCATTCAAGTTCTCTTAATATCTTATAAGCACCCAGAGTCATAATGAGCTTAGAGATAAGATTCTATATTTGTGTCCTGGGTTGAGTGAGTGGTGGGGTTTTCTGGTGGCAGGGGAGGGGGTCATAGGGGTGGCCCCCTGTGAGAAGCTTCTCGAAGCTCCCCCAGCTCCAAGTCAGCTCCACCTCTGCACCAAAACTGAGCCCATCAGCTGCGCCTCTGTGATAACGTATTTAAGAAGGGACGTGGTGAAGTGCAGTTGGACTTGTGAGGAGGAGTTGCGGCAGCTGCGTGAACACCAAGGTCAGTGGAGGAACGGAGGAAGAAAGGAGGGGGGAGGTGTGCCGGAGCAGATACCCCCCTGTATCCTGTGGGGAGACGGCAGGGCGGGCCCCCCGGCCACCCATGGAGATCTACGGTGGAGCAGACACTGATTTATGGCCTGTGGCTTCCGCCTGGAATAATTAAGGTGCTGTGCCTGAAGAAGGCCGGGGTCTTGTGGGAAAAGGCAGCCCCACTGCTGTAATTCAGCACTGGGAGGATTGCAGCATGCGGGGGAGTCCCACGCCGGAGCAGCTCGGGAAGGGCTGCAGCTGTGGGAGGGAATCCAGTCGGAGAAGGTTGGTGACCCATGACAGAGCAGTGTGGGGAACGCTGCGGCCCGTGGGAGGGACTCACGTCAGAGAAAGTTTGTGGAGGACTGTCTCCTGTGAGAGGGGGACTACGATGGAGCAGGAGGAACAAGTTCCAGAAGCTCCCCCCACCGAAGATGGAAGAAGCGGCAGCACTGACTGCACCCCCCATTCCCTGCCCCTGCGCCACTGGGGGAGGAGGTAGAGATATCGGGAGCAGAGCTGAGCCCGGGAAGAAGGGAGGGGTGGGGGGAAGGTGTTCTCAAGATGTGGCAATGCTTCTCACTGTCCTACTCTGTTATGTGTTTTTAGTGTCTGTAATAAATATATGTTCTTTTTTTCTTCCCCTAACGAGTCTGCCTTTTGCTCGTGATCATAAAAGGGGGATTTTCCCCCATCCCAGTCCTATCTTGAACCCCAATCCTGGCTCTCTGTCCCTTCTCATTGCCGGAGGGGAAGGGAGAGAGAGCTGCTGCATTGTGGTTGGCTGTCAATCAGGCCTAAACCACGACACCTGGTAACACAGAACAGGAAAAAAGCTAAAGTATTGAGTGGCTTCCTTGCCTCAGTCTTTACTAGCAAGACTGGCTTTCAGGAATCCCAGGTCCTGGAAGGAAGGGGAAAGCATTCATAAATGACCTGGGCTACAGTATGGCCTGTGGAGAACCATGTGGGCAAGCCTTCAGCGCTGCACACACCAGGGTCAGGCAACTCATGACTTCAAAGGCTGTGGCAAGACAACTTACAGAGTCTAAAAGGATTTCCAGTCATGGATAGAATGTAACCATGCTGCTTGTTGTAAGCAGGTCTCAGCTCCCAAGAACAGTTTATGTATGCAATTCTGTTGTCACATTTAGTTTTGAAAATAAAACTTTACTGCAGGCAAAGATCCCACTCAGTAACCACACAACCACTGTTTGTCTCGTCTAAGAAACTACCATAATCTGCCTGTTGCTATAGGAGAACTACGTGTACCTAAGGAGGAAGGGAAAACCAAACAAAAATGTGTGCTTTTTAAAACCATGTTTTCTATACATGATCTATACTGTTAAGGAAATAAATACGTATGTTCTCCTCACCAACAGTGTTCTGGTGACTATACAATGGGTCCTTGGTAAGCCATGAAATAGAAGAGCATTTTTTCCCCCAATTTTCTTTTGATGCCAAAATTGTATCAGAAATAGATCTGAACTCCTGACAGAAGAAAGTTATACTGCCTTTCTCACTCATGTGGGCATGCTCAGCCAATAAGAAACACCAGGTGTTTCTATAGCATGTTCAGTGAGGAAAGAAATGTGTCACGAAGCCCCAGTCCTTCCTCTCACCATCGACTGACTAAAATTAAAGGAACAAAATGATGATACCCATGGTAACGTGAAGCAAAAGAAGGTCAACTATAAGGTCTGATCGCAGGCTTTATTGCTTTCCAACTCAGAATACCAGATAAATAAGAATGTTTTTCCAGCTAAAACATCTTGAAATAAGATGTTCCATTGTATAACTACAGACAGAACTACAAAATAGGAGAGAGAAGTACAGACTATGGGCAGCAAGACTAACAATAAAATGCTGCAGCCCCTTTATAGCATGGAGTATTACCAGAGAGATCTGAGGCATTTAATGGACATTAACAACAATAAGGCTGAGAAAAAAAGAGGAAATAGCCCACGGCTACAATATGACATCGAGACACTGTAGGGACAAGATAAGGAACATGAAGCTCCTGAGATTGCATGGTGGCGTCAATGAGTAGTAGGAACTGATGCAACTAGGTGGAACCCCAACATATTTACTTGTGAGGTCTTGATTCTTCCTGTTGTCAAATGGACAAAATGTAACATGAGGTAATTAAGGGATGCTACCATGCAGAATCATAACACCTCCAGTCTCTGGCTCTGTGATGTTTCATTTCCAAAATGTTTCATTAGCTTCTATGTTCATTAGATTTTACAATGGCAAGAAAGCAGCAGAGAGTAACTAATCTGCAATAAATGTGTCATAAAATGAATAAATTTAATGTGTTTCTAGAGAAGAATGTGAAAAGTTATCTAAATTACCAGGAGATCAAAAAGGCCTACTTGTCAGCTACTTAAAAGTTGACTGCATGGCCTTCATGAGTCCTTTCTGAGCTAAAATATCACTTTCTGCTGTGTTTTGCTTTTTTTTGAGGTCTGTGTGGAGGGGAAAGATATTTTTTTTCGGTATCCCTGCCAATCTGTTTCTCTAAGACAAGAACATTTAACTTGGTTTCAGCAACAACTGTATCCTCCAGATAAGCAAGGAGGGAGGATCAAGGATGTCTGTGGTTGTTGGTAAGCCACTTTACTATAAGCCTTAGGCCAGTACCTTTTACCGCTGCTTAAAGACATTGCCCTCACTAGCAATGTTCTCAGGCC